GAGGGATGGGGGATGTCTGAGGAGACGCAAACTTTCTCCTGCACTTGACTCAACCAGAAGCCCAGGTTAGAACTAAGTCACTCCTTTGGTGTCCAGCCTGGAGCAAAGGAGAGAGAGAATGCACTGCAGCAGGAGGAATGCAGGGCCAGCAAAGGAGGCATCCTGGGCGTGGTCAGCTGAATAGTAGTCCCCAAAGATGTCCACATCCTGTCCCTGGGACCTGGGAATATGTCACCTTACAAGGCAGAAGGGACTTTGCAGCTGTGATGAAGAACCTTGAGATTGGGAAGTTACCCTGAATTATCCAGGTGGACCCGCTGTAGTCACAGAGTTCCTTATAGGAGGGAGGCAGGAGGGTCAGACTCAGAAGACGTAATGACAGAAGCAGAGGTCAGAGTGGTGTGAGCCCAGGAACAAGGGCAGCTTCTAGAAGCTGGACAAAGCAAACAAATTCTGCTCTAGAGCCTCCAGAAGGAACCAGCCCTGCTGACATCTTGATCTTAGGACTACTGACCTCCAGAAATGTAAGATAATAAATTTGTGTTGTAAGCCAGTAAGTCTGTGGTGACTTGTTGTGGCAACAATGGGAAACGAATACAAATAGTGCCTACTCTTGCCTAACTACCTACCAGGTGGGTGCTGGCCGCTTCAACGGCCACTTCCTTGGTTACGGACTGAAAACTCAAGTTAAAAGCCTAGCTGCCAATGTGATGGTATTAGGAGGTGCCTAATTAGGGGTAATTAGGTCTTGAGGGTGGAACCCTCATGGGTGGAATTAGTGCCCTTACATAAGAGGCTCCAGAGAGCTCTCTTTCCACCCCGTGAGGACGCAGGGAGAAATGGATAGTCTGCAATCCAGAAGAGGGCCCTCACCAGCACCTGCCCATGCTGGCATCCTGGGCTCAGACTCCCAGCCTCTGAAACTGTGAGAAATAAATTTCTGTTGTTTACAAGCCCTCCAGCCTATGGTACTTTGTTATAGCAGCCCCAACGGATGGAGACAGCTATCCATGGTATTCTGCAAAGCAGGCCCTCTTGTCTGCATTTCATCCATCAGGAATCAGAGGCTCTGAGAGGTGATGTGACTTGCCCAGGGCCGTGTGGCTGGTTGAAGCTGCACTGCTTCTCCAGGGCACCTCCACCTGTTTGGGCTTCAGTTTCTCCATTTGTCTCATGAACTGATTTGAGTAGATCAGCCCATCCGCCAAACACAAGCTTTGTTGAGTTGCTAGTACAAGTTCTGGGGGGAAGACTTGCAGGAAGAAGCTTTATGCTACAGTATCTTTGCAAGTGCTGAGTGGAAGTTAGAAAACCTTTCTTGCTTTTTGCTGCAGGCCTTCTCAGAGCCTCTCAGAGATAAAAGAGTACTGTGACTGCTTGAAAGGTAGACAGTGTGCGCAGCATTTCCTAACCGACTGACCCATGGGACCATTTTGAACAGAACATTGCTCGGGACTAATCTGGAGGACATCCCGCTCTGAAATGTGGACCTAGATGATCTTGACGGTCTCTTCTCATTTACAAAGGGCCAGGGTTCTACTAGATTTAACCCCGTCAGCAGGCCTGAGGCTGATCCTCATTCTGCCATGTTCTGCTCCTGAGAGGGAGGCCGGGTGGAGGCTGCCATGACGCAGCCCTCCTGTGAGTTTCCTATAACTGCACTAACAAACTACCACATACTTATGCCTTAAGACAACAGAGAGTCACCATCTCACAGTCTGGGAGGTCAGAAGCCTCTGCGCTACAATCAGCGTGTTGGCAGGGCTGCATTCCTTCTGCAAACTCCAGGGTTCTTCTGCCTTTTCTAGCTTCTGGTGGCCACTCACATGCCGTGGCTCACGGCCCCTTCCTCCGTCTTCAGCGCCAGCAGTGGCAGGTCCAGCCTCTCTCGCTGCCTCCCTCTTCCACTTTTAAGAGCTCTTGTGGTTCCACGGGACCCACCTGGATCCCCCCAGGCTAGTCTCCTGATCATGAGGTCAGCCGATTAGCAAGATTAATTCCATCTGCAACCTTAACCCCCTCTCGAGGTAGCATCCATTCACAGGTTCCAGGGACCAGGGCGTGGATGTCTTTGAGGGGCCGTTACTCTGCTTCCCTCAACTCCTTTGCTCGACTCTGAATTCAGCACAGTAACGGCTCTCATTCCTGCGCTGGTTATTCTCTCACCACAGCTCTCAGAGCGGCGGGCTCCCATCACCCCACCTGACAGGAAACTGAGGCTCAGAGGTGTGAAGTCACCTGCCGAGGCCACCCAGCCAAGAGCAGTCAGGCTGGGACTCACGTCCACATCCACCCGTGTGCCCTTGCTCTTGGCCACCATGGGTGAGGGTCTGTCACCCACCATGGACCAGCTCCTCCCCCAGTGAGAGCCCCCGGCTGCTTCACGCAGAACAGCGGACATGGTCCTAGGCTCTGCGCATCGCTTACACAGACCAGTGACCCCACTTTTCTGAGACTCAGGGTCCTCCTCCCTGACCTGGGCCTCCCCACCTGGTGTGTGGAAGGATCCAATGTGCAGAGACCCCGCTCAGGCCTCACTGGCTGAGTCTGTGTGGCTGCCCTCGAGGGCTGGTGGAGGGGCCGTTCTCCTGACTGTATTATAAAGCCGACAACCGGGGACATGAACTTGCACCTGCTGAGTGCCTGGGCCAGGTGCTCACACAAGGGTTTGATGCATCCAAAGCCACCTAGAGACTTCTAGTAGCATCATCCTCACTGCACAGCCGGGGAAACTGAGGCCCAGACAACTGGGTTAGAGCTCCCATTCCCTCATGCGTGCACTCAACAATATTTATGTACGCATGTACGTATGTGCGTATGTATGTATGTTTCGTTGTTGATGTTGTTGTTTTGGTTTGGTTTTGGTTTTGGCCTCACGGCATGTGGGATCTTAGTTCCCCGAGCAGGGTTCAAACCCACGTCCCCTGCACTGGAAGCACGGCAACTCAACCACTGGACCACCAGGGAAGTCCCTCAACAATATTTATTGATGTTGAATATGTGTCCTGCATAAGGCAGGGTAGAGCTCATATTCCAGCTGGAGACAGACTGTAAACAGTAAACAAAGAAGGGATGGAGTGCCAGGGAAGTGGGAAGTGGTAGAGGTCAGGGAAGGCGGGCTGGAGTAGGCAGCGGGGTGGGAGCTGGAAGGGTGGCTGGTGGTATGATGGTGAATGTCAGGGTGGGCCTGGCACCCCACTAAGCCCGTTCCAGGAATCGTGTCACGTCCAGAAATAAGTCACCCTGCAGGGCAGGTCTCTCCTTGTTTTTCAGGCGAGGTGGGAGGCTCCATGGGGACCCCTGCTGATGACCACACAGCATGAAGTGGCAGATTTAGGACCTGAACCCAGGACTGTGTGCGCCCCATGCAGATGTACCCATACCCCTGCCCCTGCCCCCAGAGTGGACCACAAGGCCACACCACGGGGTGGGGGGGTGCCGCCCATGAGTCTCGGATCTTTGGGGTCACAGTCCTACATCAAAACACAGCCAGGGGCTACCCTGTTTCCCCCAGCAAGACGGGAGGAGCAGCAGTTGGGGGAGAACCGGTCAAGGAGATTTGTTTTCAGGGTCTAAAAACCTGAACCTGGCCACGAACACTAGTGCGGAAACGCACGTCTTCTCCCTGTGAATAGCACGAGCCTTAGAAATCCAACTTCCTTCCCCCATCAGGCTGGATGGGGCTGACCTCCTGGCGGCTGGAACCCCGAAGTGCCCCCTAAGTGGGTACAGCTGTCAGCTTCCACTTTTAGAAACATTCACGTGTTACCGTGACATTAAATACTTTCCTTCCTAATGAGCATTTCCCCCCCAGACATCTGAATGTGCAAAGATATATCCTCTGGGCCCAGCCAGGGCAAAGTCTGTGCAGAAGTTTCCCTTGATGTGCTCTGTGGTGACCTAAGTGGGAAGGAAATCTGAAAAAGAGGGGGATATACGCAGAGCTGATGCACTTTGCTGCACAGCAGAAACTAACACGACATTGTAAAGCAGCTATACGCCAATAAAAATTAAAAAAGAAAAAAAAAGAAAGAAATCTCCCTTGATGCTGACACCGAGGCACATTCTAAGGCGAGGGGCTTCTCCCGGCCCCTGCAAGACGAGACAGGGACTCTCGGTAGAGCCCTACTGCCCCCTAGAGGGACGGATCCCGGAGGCCCAGATGGGAGGAGATGCCTGCGGGCCTGGGGCTCTCCGTGGGCCTCCTGCAAGTGCCCCAGCTTCTCTGCCCCTTCTCACCCCAGGACCACCTTTAGCCTGACCTCCATCCATCTACCAAGTCAACACGATGTAGGAGACCCCTGGCTCCGCTGGCCGGTCCCAAAGTTCCAAGGACTCAGCTTGCTCTGCCCAAAATAGTGGCCAACATCCCCTGGTACCTCTGCCAGGCCTTTACAAAGATTTCAAGCCCCAAACCCTAAAGAGAATAGGTGTCCCAGGCCCCCAACCTGATTCAAACAAGCCCCAAGTCAAGTTGTAAGATAAGAGTAAGGAACTCCGAGACGTTCCAGAGTTTTGCATGATGACTAATTTTAGGTCCTTTCTGTTTGTTTGGTTTTTAAAATAAATATTCCTCAATTATTAACAAAATTTTTTGGTGCATGGCTCTCTGCCAGTGTGCCAATAATGTTAACATTTAAGTATTCTTTTAGGAGGATTAGCTATGGCTTATGAAGCAAGTACTGGGAACACTGCAGCTGTGAAGGCTCCCCATGGGTTTACTCACCCAGTCCTCAGGATGGTTCCAGGAGACTGTTTTCGCCATCACCACTTTATACACAAGGAAACTGAGGCAGAGAGGGGTAAAGCAACTGGCCAAGATCACACAGCCAGGAAGTGAGAAGGAGTTTCCAACCTGGTCCTTCTCAGCATCCAGGGTCCAGCTATGTGTCACGTCTTCTGCAAAGCCTTCCCTGACCTCCCTGGTTGGAGCTGGTCCACCCTGACCCACCCCCAACCCTGCTGGTCTTGCCCCTCCCCCCTTCTTTTGTACTTCTACCTGCCATGAGCAATGGTGTAACTGCTTCTGTTGGGTCTACCTCCCTCCACTGCAAAGTCAGCTCTGAGAGGGCAGGAACTGGATCTGTGTGCATTGCTTCAGTCTCCCCAGGACCCAGCACTGAGCCTGGAACATGGCAGATGTTCCCTTAATATTTGGGGAAGGAGGGAAGGGGGAGAGGGAAGGAGGGAGGGAGGGAGGAAGGAAGGGAGGAAGGAAGGAAGGAAGGAAGGAGCACAGTTTCCATCCTCAGGAAGCTCCCACTTGATGGCGGGAAATAGGCCTTATTGGCTGTAGTAGGTTGAACGGTGTCCCCCACCCAAATATCCACCAGGAACCTGTGAATGTTGCCTTATTTGGGAAAAGGGTTCTTGGTGTTGTTAATGATCTCGAGATCATCCTGGATTATCGGGGTGGGGGGGCTAAATCGAATGACAAGTGTCCTTATAAGAGGAGGAAAAGGCCACATAAAGATGGGGGCAGAGGCTACAAGCCTTTGGGGTTCTCAGGCTACAAGCCAAGGAATACCTGGAGCCACCAGAAACCGGAAAAAGCAGTGAAGGATTCCTCCCTAGCTAGAACATTCGGAGGGAGCGTGGCCCTGCTGACACCGTGATTTTGGACTTCTGGCTTCAGGTCTGTAAGTGAACAAATTTTGGTTGTTTTAGGCCACTTGGTTTGTGGCAATTGGTTACAGCAGCCTCGGGAAATGAACACATTGGCCACCCATGGACGGTTCATCAATATTCAAACACCCCACAGAAGGGCTTACAAGATGCAGGCACTAGGGGCCAATCAAAGGAGCTGCTCTCACAGAGGAGTGGCCAGCTCAGCTCTCCAGGCCTTTGGGGCACTTGCCTCTCCCCCCGGCAGGGATGCCAGACGCCAGGCCTCTATTGCAGTATCAGTCATCCTTGCTACTATGATCAGACCTTCACAGTATTTTCTCACCCACCTTTTGGATTTCCTAGAATTCCCTTTTCCCTCAGCTCACACCCCTGCCACGTGGAGCGACCTCTTCCTCACAGGTGCTTAACTCACCTAAACACACAAGGTGCTCGCTCCCCTCCTGTGCTGGTCCTGCCCCCCCCCACCACCACCCCTGGCCCCGCTCAATGCCAAAGCCGCCTCCCGCTGGGAGCTTTCCAGAATGCCCTGATTGGAGGTGATTTCTCCCACTCCGTTTCTCCTAGCCTGTCTCTTCCAACAGCCTGTGGACTTGGGGAAGTGAATGCTTCATGCCCACCTCTCTGCCTACCAGCTGGCACACAGGGGAGGCATAGCGGTGAATGAGAGCCATGTCCTTGGTCAGCCACAGCTTTCTGCTGCCCCCCGCCTGGGTGCAACCAACCTCCTGCTTCCCTTTGCTGTTAACACTGACCTTGGACCCCTCTCACGCCCTGCTCACCACCTCTGGCCAACCGCTCCCACCTCGCTGGTTCACAGCTTCTCCCTCAGGGCCAAGCTGGCTTTGCCTCGGGGCTTCGTGTTCCTAAAGAGACCGCTGGTCTACCCACCCTGACCTCCCAGGGTGACCTCCCTGACAATGCCACTCAGACTGCAAAGCCAAGCGGTACCTGCCTGACAGGATGCTGCAAGAATGGATAACTCCCTTAGAACGGCATGGGCCGTACGTACGTAATAAGGACTCAGTAGTATCGGCCAGTGTCATGCGATGACAACCACGATGATGACAGTCACCACTATCACTCCCAGCTGGCCCCATGTCAATGCAGGTATCCGGGGGTCTGACAGGGGGACAGCATCCCAACTTTGACTCAGGCCAATGACAGCCCTGAGAGCCGTGTGGGAAGGCCCTGGTCCTGGCCTTCGTCCACTGTGTCCTTTCTCATTCTGCGTCGGTTTCTGTGGTGCTGTCAGATGTTTTCAGAATGATGCGAGCATACTTCTGAGGTCAGCTTCTAATCAAAAACGACTTCTAGACGGTGCCCTGGTTTAAAAAGAAAGAAAGAAGAAATGGAGTGAGTCATCATCCAAACCATTTGAATGAAACAAAGACACAACAAACCCTCTGCTTTCCTCTTGCGCCAGAACAGATTATCTCAGTCCTGCAGAGCCCAGCTGGAGGGAATTAAAGGCGATCTCCGGTTCGCCAGATAGGAAGGCGGCACAGCAGACCTGCCGTGACTCACGGCGGGAACCACAGGGGTGTAGTTGCTTGGGGCAGAGTCTGGAACCCTTGGAGGGGCCTGCAGCCAGGGCAGCAACTCTGGAGGGGGCTCTGGGGGCCTGACACTGATGGGTGGAGGAGCCAAGAGGCCAAGGGACTGAAGACCCAGGGAGCAGTCAAGGGGTGACTGTGAAGAGACCCCAACATTGCAGGGACTGCCACCCCACAATATCTTCCAGGGAGCTGGAGGATGCTGCCAGACCTAAGTTGGGTTTCACAAATGTGCTAAATGCCCCTGATGACGATTTGAGTTGCAGTGTCAGCAATTCCTCTTCTAGATTTTCCCAGAGCCCACCAACCAACACAGTTGCCCTCGGGGAGAAGGGCGAACACAGCCATTTCCCAGGATTCTTGGTCTCCCTTTTGGAATGTTGCGTCTGCCAAGGTTCTGAGCTTGGAAGATTTTGCCAGACAAACTTTTCCCGGGAGTGGGAGGGAAGCTGAACTGGACAGAACTGAGGAGATGGGCTGAGCCGGCGGCTAGAGGTGGGCTCCGGCCCTCCACCCTGACTGTTATTCCAAGACGGGTAACTTCTGCTCGGAGTTGTCAAGATGGCTCACCGCATTTAGAAAATTAATTTTTTTGGAAAATTGAACTCGTTTCTAAAATGACAGCAATAACACATGCACATGATAAAATATTTTTTTCAATAATAAAGTATTCGCCGCAAACATGAAGACAAATGTAGTATCTCAGAATATAAATATGTGAGGGGGGAAAAAAGTAAAGCATAACACAAAATATCTCCTTCCACCAGAGGACTTGAGTACTTCCCCAGGGGTGTCAATTCTTGGCTTGGGTTTTCTAGTTTTTCTGATGGTAGAGTTTACCTTTAACAGTATGTCTACTTCTACTTCTTGATTTATCAACCTTAGACTGTATTGAACAATTCCTTCCATTGAAAGATAAGGAAAATAGAGTAGTTACTCTGACTTCTGTCTGTTGTTACCCCTTCCCTCTTATGTACGTTACTCATATTATTTTTTACTTCGTGGACCCTGAGGTCAGTATGTCTGTATTCATATCCCACCTCTGCCACGTTTTGCTGTGTAACTTTGAGCAAGTTACTTAACCTCTCTGTGTTCCAGTTTCCTTTTCAATGAAAAGGGGGATAATGATGGTTTCTGCTTCATAAAGTTGTCATGCAGATTAAAAGTGTTAGTTCACACTAAGTGCTTAGAACGGTGCCTGCTGTATAATGTCTCAATGTGTTACTATTATCCCTCATAATTCTGCTCTAGAATTTAGAACTAAATCTTCTTTGAATTGTCAATAGGCTGACTCTAAAAACTGAAAGCTAATAAACAGCACTGACATCACCAAGTAAGCAATATTCATTAAGTGTGAATGAACCCATGCAGAAGGAAATATGATTCCGAGTCACTGAAACTTTACCACTCAAAGGAGAATCTTCCAAGTGTCAGGTATAACACATAGTATTTTAGTTTCTTTCTAGTATTCTTTGCCTCTTCTGTACAGTTGTCAACTGCCACTTTTAAATAATGTATATGCCATCCTCTTTCTTAGATTCTTTTGCAGGAGGTTGACATAAATCCTTGGGCAGTGTTTTCAAATAGAGTACACGGACTGTGAATTTTTAAATTCTTCGATGTCTAAGAATATCTTTATTTTGTTTAGTTATATAAGGAACCCTAGACTGAAACTCTTTTACCCTCAGAACATGGAAGACGTATCCTCATCATCTTCTGACATCCGAGTAGATGACAAATCTGGTGTTAATCTGATTTTCAATCTTTGGTAGTTTACCACTTTAAAAATTATTATTTCCAAAAGTCTGTAGGGTAGCCTCTTTATTCTTTTTTTAAAAACTTTATTTATTTTATTTATTTATTTCTGGCTGCGTTGGGTCTTTGTTGCTGCACGCGGGCTTTCTCTAGTTGTGGCGAGCGGGGGCTACTCTTCCTTGCCGTGCGTGGGTTTCTCATTGCAGTGGCTTCTCTTGTTGCGGAGAATGGGCTCTAGGTGCATGGGCTTCAGTAGTTGTGGCTCGCGGGCTATAGAGCACAGGCTCAGTAGTTGTGGTGCAAGGGCTTAGTTGCTCTGCGGCATGTGGGATCTTCCTGGACCAGGACTCGAACCTGTGTCCCCTGCATTGGCAGGCGGATTCTTAACCACTGCGCCACAAGGGAAGCCCTTTTTTTTTTAATAATTAAAAAATATATTTTATGTATTTATTTGGTTGTGCCAGGTCTTAGTTGCGGCAGGCAGGCTCCTTAGTTGTGGCACATGTCCTCCTTAGTTGCGGCTTGCCAGCTCCTTAGTTGTGGCATGCAAACTCTTAGTTGCGGCATGCATGTGGGATCTAGTTCCCTGACCAGGGACTGGCCCCAGGCCCCCCGCATTGGGAGCATGGAGTCTTAACCACTGTGCCACCAAGAAGTCCTGCCTCTTTTTTCTTAATGTTTTAAAATTTTCCCTGAGGTCTACAGGTATGCATTGTAAATGGAACCAGGTGAAGCATGTAATCTGAGGACCCAAGCCTTTCCTGGAGTTCAGGGAAATATTCCTCTCATTTCTTTTATTATTTCCTCCCTTCCAGTCTCTCTCTTCTTTTGAAATTCCCATTTCATAGCATCTGGAACTCCTGGATTTATCCTCTTTGTCTCAACTTTTCTCTTACATTTTCCAGCTTCGTCTCTTTACATTCTGGGAGATTTCTTCAATTCTGTCCTCCAGATCACTAACTTTATCACTGGCCATGTCTTATTTCTCAGCCCATTCATTGAAACTTTCAAATGTAATCCTATTTCTCATTTTCAAGCCTGATTCCTTCTTCTCTGACTATTCCATTTTCACAACAAACTCTTCTCATCAGTGCACTGTCTCTTGAATCCTCCTGAAGATACAAAGTAGAATGAAAATGATTTTTCTTCTCCCTGAATTCTCTTTGCTTATTCTAGAGTGACATCTTCCATTTATCCACTTTGATCCTTCCCTTTTTTAAAAAAATATTTTATTTATTTATTTATTTTTGGCTGTGTTGGGTCTTCATTGCTGCATGCAGGCTTTCTCTAGTTGCAGTGAGTGGAGGCTACTCTTTGTTGCGGTGCGCGGGCTTCTCATTGCGGTGGCTTCTCTTGTGGCAGAGCACAGGCTCTAGGTGTGTGGACTTCAGTAGCTGTGGCACATGGGCTCAGTAGTTGTAGCTCGTGGGCTCTAGAGCGCAGGCTCAGTAATTGTGGCACACGGGCTTCAGTAGTTGTGGCACGTGGGCTCTAGAGCCCAGGCTCAGTAATTGTGGTGCACGGGCTTAGTTGCTCTGCAGCATGTGGGATCTTCCCAGACCAGGGCTCGAACCCATGTGCCCTGCATTGGCAGGTAGATTCTTAACCACTGTGCCACCAGGAAAGCCCTGATATTTCCCTTTTGTAATGTTTGTTTTCTCCATATCTCCTGAGATCCCTTAAATGTTGTTTTGCATTTACAAATAAAGGATCAACTTGGTTAATGGCTGTAAGAAGCATGGGTTTCTTCTGCAACTATATATGCTTTCCTTCCCCAAGGGGCCTCTCCTTGGGATGGTGGGATAAGCCATGGGCTGTGTATATGTGGGCAGAGCACACCTACCAGCGAGCCCCACTATAATGTACAACGGCAGAGGGCAAACAGTCAGGCCAGGGAGACCCCAAATTGCCAAAGCAAAGAGGATTAAACAAACACGGGGTTTGCTTTTCTCTGCTAGAAGGAAGTCTGCAGTAGGCAGTCCACAGATGGTAGGGCTCAGTGTTATCATCAAGGACCCAGGCTCCCCCTGGGTACCCCTTTGTCATGTTTGACAGATGCTGCTGCACCTGCAGAAACTCCTGAGCTTCTGGTAGGAAGAGGAAGACCAGAGAAGCGAGAAGGGAGGGTGTTTCTATCAGGAAGCTGAAAGCTGTTCCAGATATCCCCAGCAGATTTCTGCTCACATTCACGGTCTCAAGGGAGACTGGGAGATCAAACTTTTTAGCCAAGTGCTTTGTGATCTTGACCAAAGCAGGGGTCCTCTTAGGAAGGAGGAACGAGACTAGAAACTGACTAAGCTATTAACTGTGTGTGTGATGGGTACTTCTGTATCTTCCCACCTGGGAGGAGCTGCTTATTCTCCCCTCCAGCCCCATGTCTGTGACAGAGATCTCCGTTTTCTCTCCTCTCTCAGCCCTATGGCAGAATTGCTATTTGTCTCCTAATATTAACATTCTCCTTCCTTTTTAGTACTAGGACTCCCATTTTTACTGGGCATGTGGCCACCTAGAACGACCACATTTCCCAACCCTCCTTGCAGCTGTGTGGCCAAGTTCCAGTCAATGGGATGGTGCTGAAAGTCAAGGCTCCAACTTCTGGGTATGTCCATACAAGGAAGAGGGTTGGGAGGGTTTTTTTTCTCTCTCTCTCCCCTCCCCCCGTTTCCCATTGGCTAGTCTGCAGGTGTGGTGGAGAGTTACCTGGAACACCCCTAGGGATGGCAGAGCATCAGGTCAGAGAGAATGAGGACCTGATAGAAAGAGAGAAAACGAGAGATAGAGAGCTAGAGGAGGGGAGGAGAGAGAGAGAGAGAAAAAAGATATTAATCTTGTTTTAACCCTTGTTATTTGAGCCTTTGTTTCATATCTTAGAAAATGACAATCCAAACAGCCACCTTAAAGATGGCTTCTCAGGCCCATTTGTTCCCTTAAATCACTATCACTGGTTGTGGAAGGAGAATAATGGCCCCCTATATGTGTCCACATGCTAATCCCCAGAACCTGTGAGTGTTTCC